GCTAAACTAACTGTACCTCCTGGCTCAGAGTTCGGTTGCAACTTCTCCGCTCTGAAGTCTGGTTCACAAGAACCACACACCTGGAGACCAGCTGCTGGAAAGAAAAAATTTATATAAAGAAGTAAGTGGCGGCGGGGGGAAGACCTATCATGAATCTTCTCTCCCTTTATTTGTGGTTTTGAGACACTGGGCTTTTAGGAGGCACCTTGTTTGGATTGGACCAACTTAAGACATACTTTCATTCAGACTGCCAGAGATCACAAGACTTTCACACCAACAGAACTGGGGCTCAGCTGTCAATGCCATGTGGTACCAACACTGAGAAAAGAGAAAATGCAAAGACTCCAGGGTCTGGAAGTACTTTGCAGGCCGTTACAGGGAGAACCATAAATACTGGAGCTGCCCAGACGGCGGGCACACAGCCAGCCTGCTCGCACCCTTGTGCTCCCTCCTGACGTCTGTAAGACAGCACGGCGGCTCACAACATGAGCCTGCGGCTGAGCTTTGTGTGCAGAGCCAGTTTTAGGCTGGTCTTCTTGAATAAAAGAATTCAACCGCTTACAAGTCAGGGTGCTTGCCCCCTGGAAAGAAAGCATGACCAGCTCTAACAGAGCAACCCCGGGGGAGGGGATGGATGTGCCAAGGCATTCTTTTGGTCCCAAACAACTTCAAAGCTTTGCATGGATTCATCCAGAAGTACAGATGGGGTACCACGTGCAGCATCTCTGGGCATGCAAGTGTCAGTAAGGGAAGGAGGGAAGGAGGAGACTCTACTTCCTTCCCTGGTGATGGGAAGGGACCCGGAGAGGGGCAGGAGAGTGAAGGGTGCCAGGAGACCCCTTCTTTCCCTGTGCCTCCCCTCTGAACTGTGGGGGGCAGGCAGCACCCCGGAGCCGGACAATGGGTCTTCCTACTGAACCAGTTTCTCAGGGACCCATGTCTCCAAAGGGTAGGATTTGAAGCTGGGAACTTTGCCCAGAGCCACTTCTAGAAGGTTCACAATCACCTAGGGAGTGAGCCATCCCAGAGCAGGCGAGGCTAACCAGTGGAGGGGGGTTTAGCCAACACTGCCCTTCAGTCTTGGAGGCCACATGGCACACTCAGGGCTTTCGAAATCTAGTTTACCTAAGAAAGCAGCTGCAACCTGTTTCCTCGGCCCAAAAATAAGGATGGTGGAAAAAAGTGTCAGGTCCTGTTGCAGAATACAAGGTCTCCTAACGGAAACAGGACCTCATAGCCAATGGGAGGCTGAAAGGTATTCTTAAACAGAATCACTTTATAATAGCTCCACAGATCTCTTCCTCTTTTTTAAAAGATATTTCTGCCTTTTGTTCCTCCTCTGTGCCTTAAATTGTTACTGTGAAAACAAGAAAGGCAGAGAGCATAGACCCATGTGTCTAATTGCCACCCAACGTGAGCAAATAGGAGTATTCTGTATTTGCTTCATAACTTTGCTTCGAGAAATGAAACAGCACAGAGTTGAAGCTCCCTGTGTCTCTCCCAAGTCACACACCCCTCACCCAGAGGTGACCACAGCACAGCGTGTGGTTCCGTGATTCCATGCATTTCCTACACGCACGGGCATCCTCAGATACTTAGGCTGTTTTGTATTTCAGTCTATACAAATGGAGTCATATCGCACATAAATATAGGCTGGCAACTTTTTTTCCATCTGCTGTTAGAAGTTTTAGATCTATTAGTGTGAAAGCATAGAATTCGAATCCACCTTAACCGTAATAGAGGATAGGCAGTCTATGAATATACTCTGCAACATGCCCCTACTAACAGAGCCTTTTGCTGTTACCAACACTACTGCTCTAAACGTCCTCACGCTGTCTCCTTGTGATATGCCTGAGTTTAAGTTTTTAAAAGGAGAAATTCTGGGTACGTGTGGTATCTACTTCTAGTGGTCCTAGACATCATCCACCGCCTTCCAAAATACACGTATCAGTCTGTACCCCACTAGCAGCCTGAGCCCCATATGCCCGTAAGGCCCATCAGTACAAACTGTCAGACCTTTCAATTTTCATCAAAATGACACTATATACTGCTATCTTTTTGCTGAATTAAATATTCACTAATTTGCATTTCCCTGATCACTTCTAACCACCCTTTCCCATCAGGGGACATTTGAGGTTTCTCTTTTGTAAGTTTCTTGTCCAGAGGCTTGCCTGTTTTCTTTCTTCTCTTGGGTTATTAATCTTTTTTTTCTAAGATTTTATTTATTATTTGAGAGATTGAGAGAACGAGTGGGGGGACGGGCAGAGGGAGAAGCGGACTACTCCGCGCTGAGCAGGGAGCCGATGTGGGACTTGATCCCAGGACCCAGAGATCATGACCTGAGCGGAAGGCAGATGCTTAACCGACTGAGCCACCCAGGCGCCCTAATCTTTTTCTTCATGATTTCTAGGAGATCTTTCTGTATTTTGTTTGTCATTTGTTATCTGTGCTGCAAATGTCACCTGATCCGTCAGACGCACGTCGAGTTTTAAAATGCCAATGGACAGGTCTTCTGATCTGTTTCTCCTGAAATAAGTGGGACTGTCCCAAAGTCAGAAGAGAATCATTTACACAGCTATAAACTCTACAAACATTAATAAAGCCACAGTATACACATACCCACCTAACTCTTATGTGCGGGGAGCACTTTACACTTTTCAAGGCATCTTTTAAAGATTTTTTTTTAAAGATTTTATTTATTTATTTGAGAGAGAGAGAGAATGAGAGATAGAAAGCACGAGAGGGAAGAGGGTCAGAGGGAGAAGCAGACTCCCTGCTCAGCAGGGAGCCCGATGCGGGACTCGATCCCGGGACTCCAGGATCATGACCTGAGCCGAAGGCAGCCGTTTAACCAACTGAGCCACCCAGGCGCATCTTTTAATCAGCTAACTTCAGCCTTACCAAAACACAGGCTATCGGGGCCTCATGTTCTCATTTGTAAGATTCAGGACTTGACCATCAATGTCCTTTTAAGGATCGGAGTCTGACCTTTCCTCCCTCCACTGCGGCTGGGAAGATCCGGGCTCAGAGGAGTGGAGCAATGCGTCTACAGTCACCCCCCTACTCAGGGTACAGGTGGGATCCATGTCGATTACATCTCAATAAGGCGAGGGGAGAGAAGCTACAGGAGACCCTAAAATCTTAGTCACTGAAACCTGCACTAGGAGACAGGCGGGAAGACAGGCATCTGGGAGACGGGCAGGGCTCCGTCACTGGAAGATGACAGTGGCCCATCAGCGTGTCTGCTCCCAACAAAAGGGCCGTGTGCACGTCAGGTGGACTCTGTGAAACGATTTTTACTGAGCAGTGAGTGTGGGGACTGATTCTGCACTCAGTGCTCCAGGGGAGGAAGTGTATCAGCATTCATGGCTAGAGGCCAGTTTCTGTTACACGGATGGATGGGCAGAACCCCGTGATTTTGTTGTTGTTGTTAGTACATGCAAAAGCACCCATTTACCCCAGACTCGGATCTCACATGGTACCTGGATGGGAGCGACCCATTCTCAGCGCTTCACGAGGCACCATCGTGACAATGGCCTCAATGTCATTTTCGAGACAGAAAATGCCCATTGGCAGCTACCGTGAAACTCTCTGCAGATCTGGGGCCCCACCAAGTAACTTCAAGGAGAAGAGATACCCCAGGCGTGCAGCACAGCTGGCTTCCCCCATCCAGGCTCCTTCCGTCCCACACACTTCCCCCCTTGGGAGCATCTGGGGACGTTCGGCGGCTTCGGGCACGACTCCCAGCAGCGTTCACCAGTGGTGCCTTCCCGTGTCCTCAGAAACCAAATATACCTGAACTAATTATGCAAATGTCCTCTAGTTTAACTGCCTGGTTTTTGTGTTTTTAAATTAGGAGAGAGAATCTGACACAAATGCAGTCTGAATACACTACTGAAGAGTTCACCTCATGGCCAAGAGTGTAGAATTCGTCGTTTCTATTACTACAGGAACAGACCATAGTGTTTTCTTTCTCTGCCTTGGGTAATGAGTCTGATTCCTACACAGCTCAAAGCACTCAGACAATTCCTAGAACATCATAGACGTTCCGTTTAAGTATCTGCACGATGTGCAAGTCAGTGGTTGGTAATGCCGGGCGCTGGCAACCTCCCTCCTACCAATTTCAGAGCCTCGAGAGTGAGCAAACTTTAGGGCAGGAAGAGAATCCGTTTGGGAACTGCAGAAACAGACGAGCAATCATCCCTAAAGGGTGTCCTAAGGGTCCTTCACGTTGGAAACAACTCCTGGAATACGCACGGACGCACCTTCACTTTATCTGTGGTTTTGCAGACTCGTTAACAAAACCTAAGTGCGGCAGCCTATGTATGCTCTAAAAGATTTTATCCCCAACATAAGCTGTTTAAGAGCTGAGGCCTGAAAAGTTCCTAAGAAATACTGTGCTAGTGTGGGGAATAAGTCGCCCGAGCCTTCCCCGACCAAGACCCGTGCAAAGTCCCCTGAGCAATGGGTCTACCTGGGTACAGATGGGCCTTGGAAAGTGCCCACCACAGCTCCAGAAAAAAAGTGTCCAAGTAGCAGGATGTCATCAAAGCAGATGTCCAGGGCCACATGGTCAGGACCCGACCTCTGCAGCACAGGCTCCTCCCTTCGGACACCCAGGGCCACCCTGGTGCCGAGGGACTCAGAGACAGCGCCAGGTGCCCCGGTCTCCCGGGCAGCAGGGCCCTGCACCCCAGCCCCAGCCTGGCCTTCCCCTGGGTCTTTCCCGAGAGCCCCCCTGAGGAAGGTCAGTGAGGGGAGGGAGCTGGATGGCTGGGACCGGGCAGAGTGAGAGCACAGTGCCTGCAGAGGATGAGGCAGAGCCTCCCCGGGGCCTCGGAAATACCCTCCAGGAGTCTGCAGAGAAGACAAAGCAGGACAGCCAGCAGGGGCTCGGGGAACGTTGTTCTTTCTCTAGCAGTCGGGCGGCTGCCGACAACGGGGGTCCTTGCGGCCCAGCCGCTGGGCTCAGCGAGGCTGGCAGCCAGGGAGGCCCGCGCCTGCCTCCCGCGCCTGCAGCTCAGTTGTAGGAAAGGTAATCGATGAGCCGGGGAGGGATGTTCAACTTGGTGATTTTCTCCAGTCCTCTGACACCAGTGGCCCTCCTCAAGCTCACCCTGCAGAGCTGCGACAGGGTCAGAGGTGTTTCTGAAAAAAGGGAACAGGAATCACATGCGGTCAGCTGAAGGAAGGAGCGTAACATCCTCCAACTTGGGAAATAACCAGGGCCGGAAACACTCCCCTTTCCCTGGAGCTGGGACGCGGCCTGCATGCCTTCTCTGGAAGGCTACCAGGAAGGACAGCCAGGGACCCGGGAAGGAAGACCAGGAAATGGAATTTACGGGGCATCCACTGGGTTTTTATTCTGTGGGGTTCTGGGGAGCTTTTTTTTTTTTCCTTTTCCATAATGTTATAACTTGGTGCACAGATTCATCAGCAAAGGACTACTCTGTGGCTAGCGGGCTCGTTTGTCAAACTTCCAGACAAGTAAGGGACAGGGCAAGGGTCAGTTACCGGGCAGGTACCAGGCCCCAGGCCCTGCTCTCACCGCCACGAGCCGCGGGGCACAAGGGGACCCAGGGAGAACGCACACACAGCACAGAACAGCTCTGACAGACACAGCACGCAAGCCCATGTCCTAGTCCCGAGGGTGAGGACCTTGGACGAAAGGTGAAGCCTGCAGCCATGGCTCGGGAGGGCGAGCAAACCAGGGCCAACGATGGAAGGTCCCTGGGGGCCCCCAGCCGCTGAGGCACCAGCAGAGCAGTCGGCCTTTTACAACGATTCAGTTCTTTAAAAACCCACGTATGCTGCAAATATCTGCTTGATAAAAATATAAATTAGCCAAAGAGTATTCTCAACTTACGAAGATTTATGAAATAAAAAAACTCTTTGGGAGGAAAAAAAAAAAGAAATCCTGGAGAAATTCATTTTCCCATATTACTTCACCCCCCAAATTATTTGGATTCAGGAAAAGAAATACCCTCCAGGAAACGTTTGACGTATGGATGTATCTGCCTCTAAGTTCATATGGATTTTGGTTAGGTGGGGCCGGCAAACATTTGAATAAATCGGGTTTTTTTTTCCCAACCGAGAGGTGTCTGAAAGCCTCTTGTGGTTGCAAGGTTGGGTAAACTCATTTAAAAATCTGTACCCAAAGAAGTCTTGTCCTCCGATCATATTTGTCCCTTGTCTCCTGCAGGGTGGGGGTGGCTCACGGGGACTCGGGATGGTTGGCCTGCTTGGACATGATTGGGCAGACTGTCAGAACAGAGCTTCTTGTAGGCTATCTTGCGCAAGGCTAAACCAACCAACCAAGCACATTCAAGCGACAAGGACAGTGTGGCCTACTTTCGTAGAACTCCAGGCACTTGGCAGGCGCGCTGCTGTTCCATGCGTAGTCGGATGGCTTCTTCCCCCGGTTGTCCCGTGCGTAGATGTTGCCTCCAAACTCAACGAGCATCTCGATGAGGTCAACGTTCTTCACCTTGGCTGCATGATGCAGGGCGGTCTCATGAAGCTTCGCTGCGTTCACATTGGCCCCTGCCGGTCCGGGGTGGAGAACAAGCATCACCAAGGAGAGGCCGCGGAGCCAACAGAAACGTCAGCTGGTACTTTCTCGTTCGGCACAGTGCACAAAAGCAATGTCCCAGCCGGGAAAGAAAGCCAAGACAGATTCTGCTACAGCCTTTTCAGAATCTTTTTTCAAGATCCCAAAGAAAGGAGTAATTACTTTTTTTCTGATGGTAAGAGAGCTACAGACCGAGCTGTAGGAAAGTAATGTAACTGGAAACAGAACCCCAAAGAAGGAACAGAAAACTTCCCTGTGAGTCACGAGGCAGTTCTCAGACCCCGTACAGGCTGTCCCCATGGGTCCTGAGGCTCTGAGAGCTCAGCTGAAGCTAAAGAAGCTCTCCTGCTGTTCCCGCTCGCGTGCACACTGTTCCCGCTTGTGTGCACACACAGCAGGCGCAGGCCGGAGGCTCTAGTACGCTGTGCTGCAGGTATGAAGGAAGGTCCTTAAATGTAAATATTCTTTCACAAAAGAGACACGCAAAGGGAATGCAGGTCATGTTCCCCAAACACCCTCTGCAGTTCAGGTAAGAGATGAGGTGTCGTACTTGTGAATTCAGCTCTGCCACCCACCTGTTTTCAAGATAGTAGTAGACATTATAGTAGGGTCACCCAGGGGGCTCAGTTGGTTAAGCATCTGCGGCTCAGGTCATGATCCCAGGGTCCTGAGATCGAGCCCCGCATCAGGCTCCCTGCTCCGCAGGGAGTCTGCTTCTCCCTCTCCCTCTCCCCCTGCTCATGCTCTCTTTCTCTCTCTCTCTCTCAAATAAATAAATACAATCTTTTAAAAAATAGATATTCAGAAAGAGGTGAACTAGTAGCTAATTACAGTATTTTTAGATGCATTAAAAAATAAGGATTTTGATAAAAATACGATTTTTGTAAAACATCTTTCATAGGGTACAGCCATCACCAATTCTATGCAAGGAGATCTCCGGGACCCTTAGGATTTCTTTTTTTTTTTAACCAACTTCTTTGAAGTCTGCTCCTAGAGGATAAGGAGGTTATAAGAGAAAGGGGATGGGAGAAAAGTATTTTAAAGAAGCCAAGCAAATAGCCCAGCCCCCGCAAAAGAGATTCCAATCACAGTCATAAAATATCAGGAAAGTGGGGTTAAAAGAAATCAGATCACCAACCTAGCTCCATGTAATGATAAATTTAGAGGAAATAAGGGGTGTAAGGCTATTAGGCTTCCTGTCCCACTGCTCAAGAGTATTTGGAAATTCTGGTTTCTGACTTAAAAGCATTTTTTTTAAGATTTTATTTATTTATTTGAGGCAGAGAGAGAACGTGCGAGCACGCACACGTTGGGGGAGGGGAAGCGGGACAAGCAGGCTCTCCACTGAGCCCAACAGGGGGCTCCATCCCATGACCTGAGCTGAAGTCAGATTCTTAACCAACTGGGCCACTCAGGCACCCGTGACTTAAAACAGTTTTGATCCCCTAGTAGAATCTAAAAACTGTGTGCCTATCAGCAGTCACCCCAACAAGATAACACAAGCGCAGCCAAAACTCCCAAGTCAGGTCAGGGGAAAAAAATCCCTCAGGAAGAAGGCTACATCACCTAAGTATTTAATTCAGCAGATATGCATTGCAAAAATAATACCGAAAGGCAATACGTTAAAGAAAAGAACCGCCCCCTATGTAACCCCCACATCGGGGGTGCTCTTCCAATAGCCGCCCAGAAGAATAAAGAATTTCATAGTTGCAGTGATAAAGCAAACAGGAGTGCAAATGTGAGACGCAAACTGGTAACGAAAAATAAACTGTAAAGTGTACAGAATCTAAAGTGCAGGACCTGTCTCGCAGGTCATTAATTGTGGCAATAATCTTGCCAAGTGGGAAGGAAAGAGATTGTCTCTATTTTGCAAGACAGAAGGGGGCACACGCGGTCAAGGAGAAAACCAGGGGTAGGCTAGCTCTCAAACCACGCCGCCCTTCCATCCCGTTCACTAGGGCTCCCCGGATACAAGGCCACGGCAGGGTGACTCTTTCCACGAGGTGGCATCCCAAGGCCAAGACAGGCTGTTTTTAACTGTGCTCTTGGCTCCTTTGGACTGGGTGTGACAGACTGGAGATCAGGAGGGGACGCTGGTACACGCTGCTGCTCGGGGAACTGCAGACCTGAGCGCACAGAGTACGTGGGGGGGGCGGGGGACTTGAAAACACAGGCCAGGCCTGAGAAAACAGCAGAGGGCAAAGTCTGTAACCCAGCACCGAGTGTCAATTACAAATACATGCCTCAACCCGCCCAGCGTATCTCACAAAACACATACAGAGGAAGCACACACACATTAAAATAGGGGGCTGGGGGGCAGGGACAGAAGAAGGAAGGGGGGAGAAGGGGGCTTTGTGGGGACCGATGATGATAATGTGCCTTGAACTGGGGGGGAGAGGGAAGGAGAAGGGGGGGAAGGAGGGAGGGAGGGAGAAAGAGAGGGGGAGAGGGACAGAGGAAGCCAGCAAAACAACTAAAGGCATCCGGGCATTAAAACTTCTCAGCCTCATGCTTCAGAGAAAAAGGGGTCAGAGTCTGATCTCAAAGCACAACAGGATCAAAGCGGACTCAGGGTAAAGCCTTAAGCATGCACAGACAAGGGCCAGCCACACGCGCCAAGAAGCCGGCCCAATGGGGACACTGAGGCCCCAGCAGCTCGGTAGCCACGGCTGAGAAGGTACGCACAGCACCCTCCCGGGCGCCTCTGAACGCTTCCTGCGGCCGTTACAGTCACTGTGACTTCGCGGGACAGCTGGACAACTGGACCGGCACTAGCCCCAGACCCCTCCTCTGCTACACCACCCTGCAGCTGGGGGGCGGGGGGGCGGTCGGCGAGCACCTGTTTTCCAGAGACCTGTCCCAGGCTTCCAGTGGATTTTCCAAGGGCTCTGTGACCAAGAACCACTACTTTCAGAAGAGCCCATATGCTGCCCTCTTCTCTCTACTTTTTTGTATGTGTGAGGTTTCCCACAGCTGAAAACGTTTTCTTTGAGAAGAATCCCTGCAATCTAGGAAGAAGATGCCGTCAGAGGTGACTGTCCACGTCTACAGTAGCAGGCAAGTCCAGAGGTGCCCCCCTACATGGGAGAGCCTTCCCCGGGAGGCTCTAGTCTAGCCCTCATTCCATCTCCCAGGTGTATGCCTCCCCACTCGGACCCACCCGCCCAACTGAGCCCACACTTTGCAATGGGGGGGAGGCTGGGGGGGGGACGGCCTGGCCTCCAACCCCAGGGATGGGCTCTGATTGGTTAATCCCTCTCTCCCCACCCCCAGGAATTCAAGGTTCAAATAACCTGGGCCTGAGCCAATGAGAATGTGGCCGAGCCTGGACAAAGGGGCTGGATCAGGTTCGGACCCAGGACCCAATTTGGGCCCCTGGGACTTAAGGGGAAGTGTGTGGGAGACAGCTGGAAAAGTGGTTTCTCACTCTTCTGAGAAAACTACCCAAAGCCTTGGGAAGAAAAGTATTTGGATTTGAGCCCGACCCTGATGCAGCCATTTTCAGCCTGTTAGGGACGTCAGGCATAGGATCAAGCGAGTGGGGTGGACAACGGACCTGCAAGACTCAGAGACGGCGCCGGCTTGAGGGTGCTGCCAAACCTCAGAGCAAAGTGACCCTGACACCTGCCTCCTTCTGATCTTTTCAGTCACCTGGACCAAGACGTCCCCTCAGCCCCCTGCACTTGGTTCCCCGTTACTTACAAAAGTAATCGGTTCCAAAAAGTCTTAATCAATTCAGGAGGGATGTCGGGGTTCAAGCCCCTGATTTGAGCCTTTCCCCTCCAGCCCCCACTAAAGGAACTAAAGAAAAAAGGGCACCAGGTGTCCCGAGCACATGGACAGCAGGTGCTCTGGGGACAGTTGTTGACCGTGATACTGCCACTTCGTAAGCTCAGCAGTCAACGGCACCTAATAACCCTCGGCTGACAGAAAAGCTGAGTGATTGGCTGGAAGGCCTAGGACTACTTCTCATCTAGATGTTTTATCCTTATGTAAAAAAGAAAACCACCCCAATGGCTAACCTGACACAAAATAAATAATTACATGTTTTTCACTAAAAACATGTAAAAGTGGCTCATGAAAGCAAACAAGACTCCCAAATAGAAAAAGCATGTATAACTGAAGCTCAAATGACCGTCGTCCGGAGAGAGCTCGTCATCTTTCTATTCCTGACCAGTTTTGTTTTTTATCCTAAATTGCACCCAGAATGTCTGAGTGAAAATTTTCCAACAAAATATTTACATTGGGTTCATAATGAAAACTCCTTGCCAACACCCACTTCGGCTACATTTTAAAACTGCCGCGGTAGATAGGTCCTGAATCCAACCTTCACTTGACTGGGCTGTGTTTTATTTCATTTTTTTGTTTTTTGCCTTGGGACCCTCCCCATCCTGAGCCTTTTTAGAACATCTGACAAGGACCTGGATTCCAAACACGGTCCCAGCTCCTTTCCCTTGGGTCCGCCCACCTCTTTCTGATCTAGATGCAAACTCATCAGGCAGGTCCTGTGGATGGTCCCCATGGCTACCAAAAATAATGACTAGCATTCATCGAGCATCAGGTCCTGCGGAAATGTGATCACAAATCCTTCCAACAATCCTGCAAAATGGGGCTTATTTTCTCCAGTTTTATAGATACAGAAACTGAGGCCCAAGGTCTCAGCTGATGAGCGGGACAGCCAGCTTCACCGGCCAGTGCACCGTGCAGGTAAACAAACCACCGGCATTGAGCCACACAGGTATAAACACCAACACCAACCCTGAGCAGTGCAGGTAGAAAGGCCGACCTACCTGCATTAAGCAGCACTTTGACGCAGTCCAGATGCTCCCGGGCACAGGCAACATGAAGAGGGGTCCCAAAATGGCAGTCATGTGCTTCCAGGTTGGCCCCAACGTCAATAAGCAGCCTCACACATTCAGAACTTCCTTCAAACACGTGGGAAAGGATAAGAACCATGAATGAATGTGTGCATTTGCAATAAGCCTGAGGGAGCGGCAGGTGGACAGGTGAGCCCCATGCCGGGTTGCAGGGGGAGGTGAGGCGAACTGGAGCTGCGGCCCAACCAACCACGGTTTACAACCACGTGTGGTCCTAGGGAGCTAAAGAAGGTTGTCCCTTCTGAGCCTGCAGGGTTCTCTGAGCCTGCCTGGCAGCGGGACGGGGAGAGAGGGCACAGCTGACCCTCTTGGGGGAGAGCAAAAGGTCTGGCACTACCATCCTTAACAGCCGGACTCTGCTCCTCAGTGGGAAGGAGGGTGCCCCCCACCTCTGGGCTGTGTCCCAAGCTGTGTTGGGAACGCCGAGCCTGCAGGTGGTCTCCTGAAGATGCTGGCAGCCCGAGTCCAAGGCTCCTGGATGAACTTCCCTAAGCCTCCTTGCCTCGGAGGTCCCCTGCCCTTCTCCCTGGCAGGTGCTTTTCCTGCTTCTTCACTGCCGTCTCCAACTCGGTTTGAGTGCAGTTTCGTTCTGTCCCAGGCTGCACCCTCTCTCCTCACTCAATCATGCTTCATCGAGGTAGCTACCAAGCTTCCACCTCCAGCCCTCTGCTGGCCATGCTCTTGGGGATGTCTTGGCCACGGCACAGTCCCCTCCCTCCACTCCTGGGGGGCCCCTGTGCCTGCCCAATCCGTCTCTGTCATCGGCACCACTCCTGAGTTGGCTTTGACCCTGTGCTCTGCTCTTCCTCATACTAAATCCTGCTGATCCTTCCCCAAAGCCTTCTAAATGAATCCATCCCGCTTGGGCTCAAAGGGCTTTGTGCTTAGATCACTGCCATGGCCCCGGTGATCTCTCCACATCAGGATACCCCCACCCCCTCCACTCCTCTACTGCAGAGCTGCAGACTATGCCACCCCAAAATAGTCTACCTTAGCATAAGGACTATTTTGATTTTAAGGCAATTAAGCAGATACAAGAAAAGCTCTTCCCCCCCCCAATCTGCCTAAGAGCAGGACACAAATTTATAAAGGTGTCCCTACTGCCCTCCATGTAGAAGGACAAATGACCAGAGAAAATTCCAGACACTTACCAGCCCAGAGAGAGCACCAGAGGAAAGCATATAACAGGGTGGAGTATGTAACATCTAAACAGGAGATTGCTCCTGTCCAGTCCCCCATTCTGCAGGCCGGGAAGAAGATACGCAGAGAGACGCAGGTGTGGAATGGCAGCTACAGGCAGCACTGACGAGCGGGTTTGTGTGGGGCAGTGGTGGGAGAGGGCCCGGGGAGCCCCTGAGCAAGGCCAGGCCACCAACCCTTTACAGGCCATGCCAAACACTCTGGCCTCCACCCTCTGGCCATGGGGATCCCCCAAGGATTTCTGAGGAGTATCGGGACCAACTACATGATCATACATAGTGTCTTGGGTTTCATAAAGTGTCCTTGGAAGTGTACAGTGTTCGTCTGACATGGATGGAAGTGGTGTGGTCTCAGCACCAGATCCGGGTGACAAAAGATGACCTCCCTGGGAAGGGGGGTGAGAGGCAGCAGAGAACAGTGACTCTGAGAGGAGCCCCAGGGGAGCATGCACCCACCCGCACACCAGGCAGCAAAGACCAGCATGGTGCCAGCCAATCAAAACATCAGCCAGAAGCTTGCAACCTCTGCTCAAAAGAGTAGAATCCAAGCTCCTTAGTCTGTCATTTAATGATTTCCCACCTGCCAGTCTTGCCCTAAATTTCCAGTCTTCTCTGTTGCCCCTCCACTGGGAACTGTGAGTCCAATAAGCCTGGACGAGTCACTTTCTCTGTGCACGGGGTGGCCTTCCTCTTACGCTCCCACCATCTGAAAACTACCCATCCTTGCAGGGCAACTGAAATCCCACCTGTTCTGAGACTCCAGGATGAGCACCCCCACCCCCCCGCAGAGCACCTGTCCTCTGGGCATATGTTGGGTCTCCTCTCCCAACCAGAGCAGGGAGCCACAAGGCAAAAGTCCGGAAAGACTGAGCAGGAAGACTGAGAGAGCCAGGGCAGGGTGGAGGGGCTTCAGCGTTAACATCTGAAAGGCACTGGAGGACACCGCTAACAATACAATCCTGTCCTAGAAACCATGGCCCCCTACTCCTGGGTGAAAACCACCTTCAGGAGGAAAAGCTGAGGCTCTCATGGCCTGGCGACCACGAGCCAGAAGCAGACTGGGAGCGCTCCTTAGCCAGCCGATGGCTTCCCATCTACACTGCTTGCTTGCATGGACTCACCGCTCATGCAGGCCTCGTGCAGCGGGGATGCCGTGTACAGGGGTGGGTTGACCTTGGCCCCGTAGGACAGCAGGAGCTTCACGCACTCGATGCTGCCTGAGGCACAGGCATCACACAGGGGCGTGCTGCCGTCAATGTTGCGGGCATCCACCTTGTGGGAAGGAAGAAACGCGCGCGTCAGGGCGGAGGGGAAACCCACGTGAGCCGCTCTCTCCCCCTGATGCACATTCATCTTTGCAAAGGCCCTTCTTAGAAGCACCAGTTTCCGAGTGTGTGCTAAGGTGCTGCACCAGGCAAGGGCATTCAAGGACAAAGGATGGGGGCTGGGAGTGCCTGTTAGCCTGCCAAGTTCGGGAGGCGCCCTCTTCAGGGCTCTTCTCTCCGGACAGGCTCAACTCTGCTTCTCTGCTTCACTCTCGCCCCCGCCCCGCTCCCACACACCCAGACTGAGAGTTAAGGCAGACAGAGTAGGAGAGTGAGCTTGAGCTTCAGCTCAGGAGTGCCAGAAGAGGCTTCATGTGTCCCCTCTAGCTGGAACACGATCCGGGAAGGAAAAAGGCAACTCTGCAAGCTGGCAGATTCTGCCTAGAATTCAGCTGCTATTCGGGGACACGCCAAACCCTGTTCTGGCTCCTCGGGGACTGCCCTCGTAGGCGAGCCTTTGGAGAGCCGGTGGGGCAGTGTGAACGGTGAGGCTCACAATGGACACTGGAGCCCGCGTTCCGCTGACCCCTTCGGGCTGTGGGTGTCAGGCCAGTTCCTAGCCAGAAACCGCTGCAGCCTCCCAGTCCGCCCCGGCCGGCGTGTTTACACCAGGGAAAACAAACCAGAAGCTTGTGTTCTGGGCCCCCCGGCCCCCGCCCCCCCACCTCCACCTCCCATGGAGAGCTGGCTTACCAGCATCCCACTCCGCCATCTCGGGGACCCCAGCAGCAGCTCTTCGGCCTGTGTGATGAGCAGCCCTGCTCCGGCACACCCCACCCCCGTGCAGGGCACTCCCCCTGCCTCTCCCTCCCTACAGCTGCCTTCTCTCTGGCTACCAGTGCCCTCCTGATAGCCGAGCCATGACCCACAGGCCCTCAGCGCGCAGCTGACCGACAGGCCGCTCCTGGGCTGGCTTCCCCGGCAGCCCCCTCCAGCTTCCTCTTCCCCTCCAGGGGTTTCTCTACTTCCCACGCGCTTGCACATCACAACGCTAATGCCAAGCCTCGCGTTTCTTTCCCCTCCCTCCCTGCATTCTCCGGAGCAGGTGCCGTGGCTTCCCCGGCTCGGGCGGGGGTCTGTCCTGAGGGGCTGCTCACCTGCGCCCCGGCAGCCAGCAGTAGCTGCACACACTGCACCTGGCCCTGCAGGCTGGCTGCGTGCAGCGGCGTGATGGAGTCCACTGTGACCTGGTTGACACACGCGCCGCTCTCGATCAGCCGCTGCAGCTGCAGGGTCTCGCCACGCTGGGCCGCCTCGTGCACGGGGGTGCGCTCCACCCAGAAACCTGTGGAGGAGAGCAGACCGAGCGCTGGGACCGAGCCGCCGCCCTCCAGGTCCAGAGAACCCCGTACGATCCCAAGACGCCACATATGATCATGGAGTTGGTCTAGACGCTCCTCAGAATCCCGGGTGATGGGAGCCTGGGTGGCTCAGTCGGTTGAGCGTCTGACTCTCAAGTTTCTATCTTTTGAGTCAGGTGTTAGTTTGTGTCTATAGAGGACTTTGCCCACTTTATGTACGTCATCTGATCTGTTGGCTTAAAATTTGTTATGGACTGAACTGTGCCCCCCAAATTCATAGTGGAAGCCCTAACCCCTAGTACCTCAGAATGTGACTGTATTCGGAGACTGCACCTTTTCTGAAGGAATTAAGGTGAGGCCATTGGAGCGGGCCCTCATCCCATCTAACTGGGGTCTTTAGAAGAGATTAGGACACAAAGAGCCCCTGGGTGGCTCACTTGGTGAAGCGTCTGCCTTTGGCTCAGGTCATGATCTTGGGGTCCTGGGATCAAGCCCCACACTGGGTTCCCTGCTCAGCGGGGAGCCTGCCTCTCCCTCTCCCTCTGCCCCTCCCCACCACTCGTGTGTGCACGCATGCGCTCACTCTCTCAAATAAATATATAAAATCTTTAAAAAAAAAAACCCATTAGGACGCACACCTGGGATGTGCATGAACAGGGACAAGGTCACTGTGACAAGGTGACCATCTGTAAGCTAAGGGGAGGTGAAGCCACCTGTGTGCCGGCTCCCTGCCACCCTGTAGAAACAGACAAATGGCCACAGAGGTTGGTTCCCGGAAGCATCCTTTCCACCCCAGGTGAGTGATCTCAGTTAATCACAGCAATTCTCGTTCCTGTTGCACATCTGTCCCAACTGTAGTTCCCAAGGAGGGAGGGAGAGCCTGTGACTGGTTTCACAGCTTCAAAACTCCTCTCTTTCCCAAGGACTTCCAGAAGACCCTCTCCCTTCTTCGTCTGCATACGGCCTAGACCCAAACACGGCGGTGCTGTAGCCATGAGGCTGCCCGCCCGAGCAGAGCCTCAGACTCTGACTGAGCGCCAGAGCCCTGAACGCGGTGCATCCAGCGTCACGGGGGGCCTGGTGCCCCGCTGCCCATTGGTCTCCCTACTATGTGGGAATGAGGGTTCCTGTCTGGGCCAAGTGCAGACAAAAGCACACTAACTAGCCGAGACCATTAACTACCTGAATGCACACACTATGGCTATGTTTCCTCAGTGTCCATTACCTAGGATACAGGGGCATCTTCCAGACACTAGGCTTAAAAAAAAAAAAAAAAAGTCCTAAATGACAATGTTGGGTTAATACCGACCTATCCTTACTGTCACGCCCCCTACTTCAAACCGCAAGATCACGTCACATACCTCTTTATGATAGCAGTTCCCTTTTATTACATTGCACATCTTATTATTACATTTCCCTAGAAAACCTTCTAATCACCTCGTCAGTCCCCAAATCTTCCCAGAGTACTTCTACAGACCCTAAGTGGGGTGGGATGCTCTCCTCCACAGAGGGACAACCTCATCGGTTGTGTGTCGATGACAATCTACCCAGATGGCCCCAGCTCTACCATGCTAGGGCCCACACCTCCGCCGTGGGGCAGGGAAGGACGGGGGCCAGGGACTCTGCTACACCTGACACTGGGCTCTGCCATTTATCAGCCTCTGCAGGACCTCACCCCCCCACCACCCAAGTGTTTCTTCACCTAGAAATTGGGCTGATAACAGTTTATTCATTGGTGGTTCATGAAAGGTAAATGAATTAAAGTAAGCAAAAGCATGTAGTGTGTGGCCTTGGCACAAAGTGACTCAGAAAATGCTGTCTATTAGTAATATTCCACCCCCCCATTGTGCCTCCCTGTCTTGCCCACTAGCCAAAGAGCCTGTGACCCCATGAAATGGGGACTTGATCATATGTGGGGTGGGGGGCGGGGGGGGCAAAGGGAGAGCTGAAATTCAGGAAGATTTGATTCTCACAAAATATAAAAGCCAAGCCTGTGGGACTTTCTCTTTACCACCTCAAGAAGGGGACCCCAGGATGTTTGTTTCACCAGTGGTAATTACCAGTCACTGGCGCGCGTGTCTTGGGGGTTAGTGAGAAGTGGCTATCACCGTAAAGTCGGTCTGGAAGAAGGAAAACCCTACGGTTTACAACCCTGCAAAGAGGAAAGCAGGGTAAGGCCCTCAGTCTCGCAGCAGGAAGGGAGAGGCAGCTCGGGAAGGCCAGGGAGCCTTCGATTTTGGGCACTTTGCAGATAATTCGTTTTTTACAAATTGAAGGCTTGTGGCAATCCTGTGTTGCAATTTTTCCAATGGTGTTTGCCTCACATTTGGTAATTCTTGCAATATTTGAAACTTGATTACCTTTGTTATAGTGATCTGTGATCAATAACCTTTGATGTTATTTACGTGTTTGGGGATGCCCCCAAACCATGCCCATAGAAGACGGTGAACTTAATCGACAAATGTGGGTGTTCTGACTTCACCAACCAGCTGTTCCCCAGTCCCCTTCTTGTCAGGCTTCCCTATTCCCTAAGACCATGCACTGAAATGAAGACCAATCAATAACCCCATGAAGGCCTCTATGTGTTCAAGTGAAAGGAAGAGTCCCACATCTCTCACTTTAAACCCCGGAGGGGCGCCCGGGTGGCTCAGTCAGTTAAGTTCCCGACTCTTGATTTCAGCTCAGGTCATGATCTCAGGGTCGGGAGACGGAGCTCAACAGGGAATCTGTTTGAGATTCTCTCTCCTTCTCCCCTTCCCCCCAAGTCGCACACCTGTGCTGGCTCTCTCGCTAAAATAAATCTTAAAAAAAAAATTTAGAAAACAACCAGAAATGATTAAGCTCAGTAAGGGAGGCATGTGGAAGGCTAAGACAGGCTGAAAGCTAGGTCTCTTGCACCAAACAGCCAAGTTGTGAATGCAAAGAAAAAGTTCTTGAAGAAAATGAAAAGTGCTACTCCAGTGAACATATGAATGATAAGAAAATGAAACAGTCTTACTGCTGATACGGAGAAAGTTTAGGTGGCCTGGACAGAAGATCAAACCAGCCACAGCACTGTCGTAAGCCAAAACCCAATCTAGGGCAAGGCCCTAACTCTCTTCAGGTCCATGAAAGGTGAGAGGCGAGGAAGCTGTAAGAAGAAAAAAGGGAAGCTGGCAGAGGCTGGTGTGTGAAGTTTAAGGAAAAAAGCCAAGAAGAAAAACGGGAAGCTGGCAGAGGCTGGTGTGTGAAGTTTAAGGAAAAAAGCCGTCTCCAAAACATAAAAGTGCCAGGTGAAGAAGCGTGTGGTCCAGAAGATCTAGCTAAGAAAATTAACAAAGGTGGCTACACCAAACATTATCAATGCAGATGAAACGGCCTACTATGGGGATGAAAATACCATCTAGGACTTTCATAGCTAGAGAGGAGAAGTTAAAGCCTGGCTTTGGGGGGAGACGTGAGGGGTTAATGAAGCTGGAGACTTAAAGTTGAAGCCAATGGTCACTGAACATTTCAAAAATCCCTTAAGAATTCTGCTAAATCTACTCTTCCTGTGCTCTATAAATGGAGTGACAAAGCCTAGGTAAGAGAGCATATGTTTACAACACAGTTTACTGAATATTTTAAACCCACTCTTGAGACTTACAGCTCGGGGGGGTAAAAGCACTCAAGTAACCCTACAAATTGATTAGAGATAAATGTATTTGACGGGAAGGGTGTGAGCCTTTTGGCATAAAACAAGCAACCCAGGAAAAAATCCACCTGGGTTTAAACCTCAGCCTTGCGTCTTTCTAGTTGTGTGAACTCAGTTGCACCTCTAAATTATCAGACATAAGGACCATCCTGCAGCTGCCCCAGGACGTGTGGCTAGTGCTGGTCCATAACCTAACAGCTCCAGGCTCTTATGGTGGTCCCAGAAACTCTTTCTCTCTCCATCTGACCTTCTGATTACCCCAGACAGTAGTGAGCTGTGTCTGGAGTTCTTGGCCAAGGATGACTGAAAAAAAATTGGCTCATCTGGCTTAGAGCCCCCAAATCCTTAAGGTACCCTTCTGTTGTCTTCTACCAGCCTCTCGAGTACAGCTCTTGAGTATAGATCCTGAATATGGGATCACTTTTTCAACTTTGCAAAGGGACACTTACTTTGGGTCCATAACAACCTGTATTACGTTTGCTAAGTTATGAATACTGGATTCACTTAAGAGATGACTTGCCCTAAATTCTCTGCAGAGCCTTACAATATGGCTTCCATAAGCACCGTCTTTACCTCTGTGAGGTGTTCTATTAAAAAATGGAAAATGTAATGCATTTAAGTATCCCATGCATCCAGAATTTCAGATCAGAATGTTAAAATGGGCTACAGTTCCTACAATGGGCTCTGCTTCTGCTGGGATAGCAGGCTTCCAGATTCAATACATTCAGCTGCTCTATTAGCATTGAGAATGAAAGTGTCAGGGCATATCTTTTTGGGGGAAATAAAACAATGACAGTCAAAACTATGCATGAACCTCCAAAGCCATAAATCCATTGGTGGAGTGTGCTTTTCTCTTCAAGATTCCTTAAACGATGCAAAAACAAAACAAAAACGCTCAGAAGTAAATGCTGTTATTAAGCATTCTACATGACCAAAAATATGCAACTGTGTCTAGGGTGCCCTGCTTAGCTGTTCATTGCTTATTTAACTGAACCAAACACAGATCACACTGGTGGGGTCAGAGTCTGTGCCTGCCTGGGGTGAAATGCCAAGTAAAACCAGATGCTTCTTAGAGGGCTTTGATCTGGCTGAAGGTGGCTGTTTTGCAAGATCAATTCAAACACCTGCCTTGCTAGGACTACAATTCCTCTTACACTAAACTGACTCTTAAGACTTCCCACTTTTATTGGCACTGCTGTTTTTACCAGTGTAAAAGGACTTTAGATTTTTTTTTTCTTCCAGGTTTTCAAAGTGCGTTCTGGGGACATTTCACCTGCTGCAGTATTACTTCATAGGCAGAGATGTTTGCTTCCCCAGAGAATGTGCCTTTGCCCTCGATTCATTTTATTCTTCCGTAGCAACCGAATGGTAAGCAAGATTCAGTGAAGAACCGAGATGGCTTTTTTTTTTTTTTAAACACAGGGTGACCTGTCGCAACGGCATCTCCTGTTCCTGGAGCAGATGCCTTCTATCACAACTGGGTGCACCCGTAGGATGCTAATGACAGTGCGCCACGACCCTCTCCCGGGGCCCCTGGAAGATGGTCCAGCTCCCACACCCGGCACCTCCTGGGTGCTCTGAGCTTGGCCATGACTGAGGTGCGCGGCGCGCGGGTGAGTCTGCAGTTGGGAAGTCTCACGACCGACGCGTCAAGACCGTGACTGGCTCGGCAACGCGCCGGCCGGGGACTAGGAGCCGGACGCAGAGCGCGCCTGAGATGCCTGGCGGTCACCGAGGCTGCGCCCGGGAGGGAACGGCGGCGCTCCAACCTCGGCCCACCAAAACGCCCCCGCCGGCGCCCTCGGGGCAGCGCGCGTCACGATCGCCGAGCGCGTGTCCGCAGACACACCTGTCCCGCCCGGGAGCAGCCCGGCGGTCCCTGCTTCCGCGCCCGCCCCGCGCCCCCCGCGCCCGCCCCACGCCCCCCGCGCCCGCACCTACCCACGTCGCCCAGGAAGCAGCCATCCGCCCCGCGGGGCTCCATGCCGCCCGTCCGCTCGCTGCCGCGCGCCCGCACACCCCGGCGACTCGGGCGCCCGCGACCTGGGCGGAGCTCCGCGGGCTAGGCCGGCCGAGGGGGACGCAGCTCGGTCGCCCGAGGGGCCGCGGGAGTTGTAGTTCCGCCGCGGCCGGGCGCCCGGGACTCGGGCCCTGCGCGGAGCGTGCCCCGCTGGGGCTCCCGGCCGTGCTTCGCGCTGCTGGCTGGGCGGCGCCGCGGAGCTGCTCGGCTGTCTGCACGGAGACGGGCTTCCTGCTGCCTCTGGCACGCTCCCCGCTTTTTTTCACCCGAGTCTTTTCGGTTGGTGAGGACAAAGCAGACGCGCCTTTCCCAGGCCCGCGGCAGGATTGAAGCACGGGTTTCCGGATAAGTCCGGGTGGACAGCCGAGTAAGTGGGGTGTGCTTTGCTTTGCTTTGCTTTTGCAAAGCAGGTAGCACGGTTCGGAAGGTTTAACTTTGTCGAAGTTCCTGTGGCCTCGTCACGAGATTACTCTCCCACCTGACCTATACGAAGCCTACGCACAGACGTTAGTTTGGGCTGGAAAGTACAAATATCAGGATGTACCCGGTGCGGAAATACATGAGGACCCGTGGAGCGCAGAAGGGTTGATCTCTCCCTTGGACGACTCGAGTCTTTTCCTCCGGTCCAAACCGCAGGCAGTGTGCATCTGACCAAAGCTCCTGGGACGTCCCAGCCCCAGACCTGCAAATGACACTTCAAGCCTGTTAGCAGTGTGTGTTTGCACCCTCATTGCCACTTGTCCACCAAAATTAGGCTCTTGCATTTTTCTTGCGAGTTTCTTGCATTCTGTATTAAATGTATACTTTTAAAATCTAGTTGCTGTGGAATGTTACGTTTTTTCCTATAATAATGCCTTGTATTATTCGTATTTCTTTGATTTTTCTTCCTTGACAAAGCATCATCTAGATCTTAGTATAGACTGTATATTTGTATACACCATATATATTTACAAACTACATATATTTATATTGTATTTATGTCCACATATAGACATGTATTTCTTAAATATCTTAGAAAGCAGGTATTTCCTAATTAGCTTATTTTGTAAATTTTTCTCCATTCTGTTGCTTGATTTCAATATTGCAGAAAAGTTTTAAGTTTTTATATATTCAGAAATATATACTCTGAGAGTGTTCCCTCTCTTTCTCCAATAGTCAGAATGTATTTCCCCACCAAGAGCCAGAACATGTATATTTTTGTTCTGTTCTGCTGTTAAGTCTTTAAGTTTGGAATTTGTTGTCATCTATAGGATGTACGTTAATTTTCCTCCAACTTGAAATAAAGTTGTTCTGAAAATATTAACTAGTAATTTATCTTTGCATTAATTTATTTTTATTGCATTTTGCTTTATTGCACTTTGCAGATTTTTTTTAACAAACTGGATCCAAATCGATTTTTGCATCTTTTTTTTTTAATTCCAGTATAGTTAACATACAGTGTTATACTAGTTTCAGGTGTAGAATATAGTGATTCAGCAGGTCTACACATTACTCAGTGCTCATCAAGATAAGTGTACCCTTAATCCCCTTCACCTATTTCCTCCACCCCCCACCCACCTCCTCTCAGATAACCATCTGCTATCTATAGTTAAGAGTCTGTTTCTTGATTTGTCTTTTTTTTTCTTTGTTCATTTGTTTTGTTTCTTAAATACCACTTATGAGTGAAATCATATGATATTTGCCTTTTCTGGCTTATTTCGCTTAGAATTATACTATCTAATTCCATCCATGTTGTTGCAAATGGCAAGATTTCATTCATTTTATGGCTGAATAATATTCCATTTTGTATATTTAGCACATCTTTATCAATTCATCTATCTATGGACACTTGGGCTCCTTCTATAACTTGGCTATTGTAAATAATGCTACTATAAACATAGGTGTGCATGCATCCCTTTGACTTAGAGTTTTTGTATTTTCTGGTAGTGTGATTGCTGGACCATAGGGTAGTTCTATTTTTAACTTTTTAAGTTTTTGAGGAATCTCCATACTGTCTCCCACAGTGGCTGAACCAGCCTGCATTCCCACCAACAGTGCACGAGTGTTCCTATTTCTCCACATCCTCATGAACACTTGTTATTTCTTGTGTTTGCTTTTAGCTATTCTGATAGGTATGAAGTGATATCTCATTGTGGTTTTGATTTGCATTTCCCTGGTGATGAGTGATGTTGAGCATCTTTTCATATATCTGTTGGCCATCTGTATGTCGTCTTTGGAAGAATGTATGTTTATGACTTCTGCCCATCTTTTAATTGTTTTTTGAGTGTTGAGTTGTATTGGTTCTTCACAGAGTTTGGGTACTAACCCTTTATCAGATATGTCCTTTGCAAATATCTTCTCTCATTCTGTAGGTTGCCTTTTAGTTTTGTTGAACTAAAAAGCTGTGCAAAAGCTATTTATTCTCATATAGTCCCAGTAGTCCCAATAGTTTATTTTTGCTTTTATTTCCCTTGCCTCAGGAGACATACCCAGAAAAATGTTGCTTCGGCCAATGTCAGAGACTTTACTGCCTGTGTTCTCTTCTAGGATTTTTATGGTTTCATGTCTCACATTTAGGTCTTTAATCTATTTTGAATTTGTTTTTGTGTATGGTGTAAGAAAGTGGTCCAGTTCCAGTTCATTCTTCTGCATGTGGCAGTCCAGTTTTCCCAACATCATTTGTTTGAAGAGACTGTCTTTTTCCCATTGCATATTCTTTTCTGCTTTTCAAAGATTAATTGACCCTATAGTCATGGGTTTATTTCTGGATTTTCTGTTCTGTTCTGTTCTGATCTATGTGTCTATTTTTATGCCAGTATCATTACTGTATTCATATTGTTTTTGTTTTACTACAGCCTTGTAATATAACTTGAAGTCTGGAATTGTGATACCTCCACACATGATCTTAGCCAAAAGGCCGAGAAGCAATTGGAATTGTGATACCTCCAGATTTGCTTTTTCTTTTTCAAGATTGCTTTGGCTATTCAGGGTCTTCTTTGGCTCCATACAAATTTTAGGATTGTTTGTTCTAGTTCTGTGAAAAATGCTGCTGGTTTTTTTGATAGGGATTGCATTAAATCTGCAGATTGCTTTGGGTAGTATGGGTAGTATCTGCATTAAATCTGCAGATTTGCTGACTGAGCCACCCAGCTGCCCTGGTATTTATTATTCTTTGTGCAATTGTAAATGGATTGTTTTCTTAATGTCTCTTTCTGCTGCTTCATTATTTAGTGTACAGAAATGCAACAGATTTCTGTATATTGAGGGACGCTTGGGTGGCTCAGTCAGTGAAACATCTGCCTTCAGCTCAGGCTGTGATACCAGGGTCCTGGGATAGAGTCCCACATCGGGCTCTTTGCTCAGCAGGGAGCCTGCTTCTCCCTCTGCCTGCCACTCCCCTACTTGTGCTCTCTCTCTCTGACAAATAAATAAACAAAATCTAAAACTAAAAACAGTGCCAATAGGATTTTCTGACATGGCTGTGGAACATGAGAGAAAAAAGAGTAGTCAAAAAAAATTATGTCTGTACATTGATTTTGTATCCTGGGACTTAACTGAATTCACTGATCAGTTCTAGTAATTTTTTGGTGGAGTCTTCCAGCTTTTCTCTCTGCAAATAGTGCAAATTTTACTTTTTCCTTATCATTTTGGATGCATTTTATTCCTTTTTCTTGTCTGATTGCTGTGGCTAGGACTTTCAGTATTATGGTCAATAAAAGTGTGAAGAGTGGGCATCCTTGTAGTAGAATGTGCCTGTAAAACCATCTGGTCCTGGAATTTGTTGGGAGTTTTTTTATTACTAATTCAATTCCCTTGCTAGTAATTGGTCTGGTCCAATTTTCTATTTCTTCCTGTTTCAGTTTTGGTAAGCTATATATTTTTAGGAACTTATCTATTTCTTCTAGGTTGTCCAATTTGTTGGCATGCAATTTTTCATAATATTCTCTTTTAATTCTTTGTATTTCTGTAATGTTGGTTGTTATTTCTCCTCTCTCATTTGTGATTTTGTTTATTTGAGCCCTTTCTCTTTTTTTCTTAATGAGTCTAGCTAGGTTTAACAATCCTGTTGATTTTTTTTTTTTTCCAAAGAACCAGCTCCTGGTTTCATTGATCTGTCCTCTCTCAATCTCTCTCTCTCTTTTTTTTTTTTTATTTCATTTATTTCTGCTGTAATCTTTATTATTTCCTTCCTTCTGCTGGTTTTGGGTTTTGTTGTTCTTCTAGCTCCTTTAGGCATAAGTTTAGATTGTTTGAGATTTTTCTTGCTTCTTGAGATAGGCCTGTATTGCTATAAACTTTCTTCTTAGAAACACTTTTGCTGCATACCAAAGATTTTGGATCACTGTGTTTTTATTTTAATTGTTTCCATGTAATTTTTCATTTATTCTTTGATTTCATGGTTTAGTAGCATGTTATTTAACCCCTGTGTATTTGTGGTCTTTCCAGTTTTTTTCTTGTGGTTGATTTCTAGTTTTATAGCATTATGGTCAGAAAAGATGCATGGTATGACATCAATCTTTTTGAATTTGTGGAGACTTGTGGCCTAGTGTGTGTTCTATTCCAAAGAATGTTTCATGTACACTTGAAAAGAATGTATATTCTCTTTTAGGGTGAAATGTTCTGAATATATCTGTTAAATCCATCTGGTGCAATGTGTCATTCAATCCCTGTTGATTTTCTGTTTGAATGATATATCCATTGATGTAAATGTGGTGTTAAAAATCCCCTACTATTAATGCATTACTATCAGTTAGTTCTTTTATGTTTCTTATGAACTGTTTTATATATTTAGGTGATCTTATATTGGGTGCATAAATATTTACAATTGTTATATCTTCTTGTTGGATTGTCCCCTTTATTATTAAATAGAGTCCATCTTTGTCTCTTGTTATAGTCTTTGTTTTGAAGTCTAGTTTGTCCAATATAAGTATTGCTGTTTTGGCTTTCTTTTGACACCCATTTGCATGATAAATATTTCTCCATCCCCTCACTTTCAATCTGCAGG